GCGTCCGCGCCCACGAAGAGATTTCCAAAATCTATAGCGATGACGGAATGACTGACACACTACCACCAGCCTTATATTACAGATTATAGATGAGGACCAGATTTGTAATTATTACAAAATTTACATAAGATTGAATTGAAACAGTAAAAGATTAATTTTTTTTAATTGTGGACATAACAGGGCCATAAAGAGGACAGTGGCCAAATATATTAATATTTATTAAATATATTAATACAGGACTATATTAATACAGGACTATACTAAAATTGAAAAGAAATGTAAGGCTGTCTTTCAGTAACTGAAGAAATTTAATGAAGTACTCAGACGTCATCCACCCGGATGCCTTTGGGTGAGAATCGCATCGTGTTCCTGGTGGGACACCTAGATTCCAGTGATCTTAAACATTGACTCTGGGGAAGATCAGGAATGGGGCATGCTATTTCCGATGGCATTGACCGCTTCACATAGTGTGACGGTGCTCCCTTTCTCATGTGACACGATGGAGCCCGCACGTTTTCACCCTTCTTTGCTAATTGTCGCTGAGTTTGTACAGTGGAACACCCAGTCTTGTCAATGTTCCAAATGCATTCTGGCCGAAACTTCTGTTTCCCCATCACTTTCTCCAGATTATCGTAGAATAAGTTGACGTTTGTTTTGTTGAATTGCCTGTACGCGATTGAGTGATGTTGCCTCCGGACTTCGCAGAGATAGTTTGTCTTTGTGACGTTGCCTGAATGCTATCAGCCAATCATCTCCTGCAGTTTTCGTTTCGCAGCGGACCAGGATTCTGGCATGGAAATTTTGTTGGCAACAGCAACTTCGTAGGCTGTTTTGCGTTATTCTCTCAGAGTTAGGCCATAGTAGATTGAAGAGGCTTCAATGATGTAGTCCAGCAAAACTTGTTCTTGCTCATCTGAGAAGATGCGCTTCTTCTGCGTACTGTAGCCAAAAGTTGACTTCTCAATGTTGTCGTCTGTTTTGTGCAAGTTTACATAGCTTTGAAGGGTCTTGTAAATAACCCCACAGTCGGATGCAGCTTTACGGAGCGACAAAATGGGCTGCAACTGTCATCTCAGTCAGTGGCGTAGCTAGGATTTTTGGGCCCCTATGCAAAAAGTGTTAGTGGGCCCCCCAGAGGCGTAGTGACCCTTCCCGGCGACCGGGGACAAACTTTCGCTTTGCACCCCCCTCAGACTTTCGATTTGCACCCCCCTCAAACTTTCGAAAAAGGGACCCTATTTGCCTTGGGCCCCTATGCCTTGCTTACGCTAGCTTTACGGTAGCTACGCCACTGATCTCAGTGACATGTTTCGTCAATGTTCCTCGTGTTGTCTTGTGCTGGTATTGTCTTGGCATTATTCTGTGAAGAAAAAAAGCAAGTTGAACGCCTTAGACTAAATTCAAAGATACAATCTAAACACAAACAATGCAGTGATTGCATATGTAATGAAGGTTATTATTAAAGGTTATTACTACTGAGTAAAATTATATATTTATTACTACTACTACTTGACTTGCCTATTATTATCTTATTCACTGTATACACACTAGGGGAATATAATGACATTAATCATTTGGAAATTCAAGAAAGAAAAAAGAAAAACATATTTTGCATGTTTTGTACCAAGTAGTCTTCTTTTTTTAATGACCTGGGTGAAAAGTCACACCAAAGAAAAAGTGTGACTTTTCACCCCATCATTATCATCATCATTAGTCCTCTTTGCTCCTTATGGAGCATAGGGCCTCCACCATTTCCTTCCATTTCTTCCTATCCTCGGCTATTAATTTTGACATCTCCCAATACATCCCTATTGGCTTCAGTTCTTCAAGAAGACTCCGCCTCCAGGTCTGTCTTGGGCGCCCTCTCTTCCGCTTTCCCTGGGGGTTCCACTCAAGCGCTTGGCGTGTAACATTTGTGTGAGCCTTTCGCAGTGTGTGACCCACCCAGCGCCACTTCCTCCTTCTTATTTGCACACCTATAGGCTCCTGCCTAGCTTTCCTCCATAGTTCCAAGTTCGGCACTTTGTCCTGCCATCTCAGTTTCAGTATCTGTCTAAGGCATCTATTCATGAAGGTCTGTATCTTTGCTGTGCTTGCCTTGGAGACTCTCCATGTCTCTGCTCCATACAGCAGAACTGCCTTGACATTAGAGTTAAATATCCTAATTTTTGTGGTAATGGAGATGGCCGAACTTTTCTATATGGGTCGCAGGTTTCACCCCATGGCCTGTGACATTTCACCCCAGCATCGGGTTGTCTAACAAAATGATCCATACTTCCAAATCAATTTCTCAGAAGTAAAAACAATCAATCCAGACTGACGTTATTATGGCTTGAGAAAACAAACATTGCATGAAAACACAAAAATAATGAAAGATGCAAGCATACTTACAGGATTCCGTTGATTAAATGTCCCACTTTGTCAATGAATACAAGTATATGAGGTTCTGAACTCAGTTCCGGTTCAGAGAGTTAAAACAGGAAGTGAACTCCAAGCAGGGTAAACGACTAAAAACCATAAATTTTCTTGATGAAGGAATGAAAAAGTATGTTCTTCAAGGTAAAAACTTGCTGTGACTTTTCGCCCCTGTGACTTTTCACCCAATCCTCCCCTATTCTTTAGTTATTATTCTTTCAAGTGATAAAATGCAATAGAATAGCTTACCATAACTAATCTAATATCCTTACCTATTAATACTTTGATTGATGTGGTGTAAAATTGTTGCTGATTGAAAGTACACTGCGGAAATCGCAATATTCGTTTTGCGCCGAGATTTTTAGCGCTAGAAATATTAGCTGGTTTGTTAATAGGATTATATCCAGGGGCGGAACTACCATACCGCCAGACCCCGCAATGCGGGGGGGCCCAGGACGTTTAGGGGCCCAGTTCCGACCAAAAAACAATGAATTTGTTTTTCAAAAATTATGTTTTTCATGCATCTTAAAAGTGGTTTTGTAAAAAAAAAAAAAAAGGTCTACTATAGCAGAGATTGTTGCGTAGAAAAATATTTTATAATCTACAAGAGCTATAGTTTGAAATGGTAGGCAAACATTCACACTACTTCCATGACTTACTGCCCTTCTTTAAAACAGGGATGCCCACAAAGCTCATTTAAATAGTTTTGTGCTATGTATATTAAAAAGCAATTAAATTCTCTGAATTATTATTTAAATAAGACGTAATAAACAATGGTATAGCCATAAAAATCAATGTTTTCAAAATTGATATTATAAAAGCCAAAAATGAAAAGAATAAACATAACGCGAGAAACCATTCACGAATCAAGCTTACGTCTTTATATATTTTTGACCAGCATGTTTAGAAGTGACGGTGGTAATTTCTAGCTTAAGATGAGTTTGGACCAAATTTGTCTGGATTGTTCTCCCAGAATGGTTTTATATTGCAATGAAGTAGACTAAATTACTCAGTTAGGATATAGATATTATATATATATATATATATATATATATATATATATATATATATATATATATATATATATATATAGGGGGCCCTAATTTTTTCTTTGCGGGGGAGCCCTTTTTTTCTAGTTCCGCCACTGACTGTAGGTTAACAACCATTAACATATGAATCAATTAAACACACTGAAACAAGTTAAAGTATTTAAAAATTTCTATCCGTGGTGTTTATCCTTAAAAATGTTTAAGTACAATTTGCTATACCGACAGTTGACACCAGTAGACACAAGGCATTAGGTTTAGGGTGAAACTAAAGGCTTTAAATTAAGTGACTCTGCTAATCTCACAATCCTTCCTCGTTTCAATTGCCAGCTTTAACCGCAGCGCTCATCAACCGTAATACACCTCTTTGCTCCCACTTACAACAAAACGTCACTCGGCCAGTCGTTTCCCTTCTAACATCCTCATTTTAAAAAACCCAGCTAGAATACACTGTCTAACAATACAACAGTAGTTGTACACAAACCGTTTACATTACTTTGTTCCACATTCACACTTTTCATAAATTTCACATCACCATAGAAGCAAACATAAAAGGGGGACCCTGGCTGCTGCTCTCTAATCCCTTTTCCCCCTTAATCCACAACTGGTTTCTAATTCATTAAGAATTTTTATACAAATTTTTTTTTTTTTTTTTACTAAAACATGAACCCGATTTTTGGCTACGCTAAGAAATGAATACTCTGACTGCCGAAGAATAAAATCAATACCACCAGTATTGATCATTTGAACCTCTACGTGGAGTTCTTCCATCGTTCTTTAAAAAAAAAGAAGTTATAAAAAGATAGAAATGTAATAAATAATACAACTCGAAACACAAACACCAAGCATATACCGCAGAACTATTACATCTGTCAATAGTAATTACCACCACTAAAAATCTCTATAATTTAGTATAATTATAATATGCAAAAAAAAAAAATACAATTGACATGCAAGAATAAAAATTGAGCAATATATATATATATATATATATATATATATATATATATATATATATATATATATATATATATATATATATATATATATATATATATATATATATATATATATATATATATATGTATATACTATAAAAGATAATGGGATTATTTTTAAAATCTAGCACCAAAATAAATTTATGTTTGGCTGCTGAAAGCTATCTGGACAAATTTTTTTGGGTAAACGTTGCTGTAGAATGAGGTGACATAGGGCCTACTTATTACAGGACTATGTGTATACCAGATGATAATAATGGGAGCTGCTCGGCAGACACTTCGGAAAAGACAAATGTGTTTTAAATGAGTATGTATATGTATGCATGACACACACACACACACACACACACATATATATATATATATATATATATATATATATATATATTTATTTATTTATTTATATACAGGTCAATATATAAATGTGTGGGAAAAAAAGCATTCATTATAAATCATACATACATTCAGAAAGATTTTTGAGGAATTCTAAGCAGCAATACAAAATACCGGTAGTTAATAGTGATTTTAAAATTTAACTTACATATAATCCTTCGTGAATATAGATCTATATCTATACGGAATTTTAAGAAAGCCGTTATTACTGGAGCTAGCTCTCGCTCTCCAGCTTGATGGAAAAGGCGGGAAGCAAATAACCTCTGACGATGTGCTTTAAGAGCGAAGAAAATGCGTACAGAAAAATTGATTACTTTTATCTCGCGCTTGCTCTGTACGGTGCCGATAAGGTTAGGGAGGAAGGGTTATTTAAGGTATTATTAGATATTGAGAATACTATTGAGAATACTATTTTACTTATGCGGTTTCGAAAGTGAGATTGGGAAAGTCTGCAGTGAGAAGTACAAAATTGATTTAAGATTTACCTAATTAATCAAAATTGATTTGGAAAGTAACAATAGCGGAACTAATATAATAGTTCTCTCAACCCTGTGAGAAAAAAATTACAATACAACAATGCCGTTGGGTTTCGTATATTCTCTGATGTCAGCCTTTTCTAAAACTGGCAATAGTTTCAAATTATGACCGGAAAAATGCACACTAAAAACGAACACACAGGAATATGCGCACACAGAAAATTCTCAACTAGGAAATAGTGCATTGAAAAAATGCACACTGAATAATGTGCAAATAATAAAAATTGAACACAGAAAATTTTACACAAGTCATCAATGAGGATAAAGGCGCAGTGTGTGTGTCTGTGTTTATGCGTGCGTTATTGAGATTGCATGTGTCATTGTGTATATATAGATATAAACAAATACTTTGATGCTGTTTACCTTATATGATTACTCTACACATTGTTTAGCCACAAAGAGGGGTTGTCTCATTCTTTGTTCACATTCTATGATCTCTCTCTCATCTCACGCTTTTTAATATCTCTCTAATCTTTCTCTCTCGCTCTGATCTGTATTATCTCTCTGATTTCTCTCTCTGACATTTATCTCTCTCGCTCTGAGCTCTCTCTTTAAGCTCGCTCTCTGATAACTATCTGATCTAATCTCTGATTTCTTTGATCTATTTCTCCGATTTTTTTCTCTAATCTCTCTGTTGATTCTAATCTTATCTCATACCTCTCTCTTTCTATAATTTTTTTCTCAATACCTGATCTTTCTTTCTGATTTCTCTTCTGTTCTCTTTTTCTCTAATTTCTCTTTTATTGATCTCTCTCTATGATCACTTTCTCTTTTCTCACTCTCCGATTCCCTTCCAAATATCTATCTGATCTAATCTGTCTTTCTGATCGCTCTCTGTTCTCTCTCTGATTCAAAGATCCCTCTTTAATCTTTCTCTGAACGACCTCTTTCTTTCTGATTTCTCAATTTTGGTCTCAACTCTGATATCTTTATCTGATATCTGATCTCTTTCTCTCGGATTTCATTCTTTGATTACTCTCTCTTTGATCTCTCTCTCTTATAACTTTCTATGATCTCGCTTATTACTCTCTCATAAACCATCCCTCTCTGATCTATCTCTGTTCTCTTTCTTTCTGATCCCTCTTCTATGATTGCTCTTTTATTGATTCCTCTCTATGATATATATATATATATATATATATATATATATATATATATATATATATATATATATATATATATATATATATTATATATATATATATATATATATATATATATATATATATATATATATATATATATATATATATATATATATACATATACATATACATGTACATATATTCATATATACAAATATACATATATACATATATACATATATACAAACATACATATATACATATATACATATATACATATATACATATATACATATATACATATATACATATATACATATATACATATATACATATATGCATATATGCATATATGCATATATGCATATATACATATATACATATATGCATATATGCATATATGCATATATGCATATATGCATATATGCATATATACATATATGCATATATGCATATATACATATATGCATATATGCATATATACATATATGCATATATGCATATATGCATATATGCATATATGCATATATGCATATATGCATATATGCATATATACATATATGCATATATGCATATATGCATATATACATATATACATATATACATATATGCATATATACATATATACATATATCATATATACATATATACATATATGCATATATGCATATATGCATATATACATATATGCATATATACATATATGCATATATACATATATGCATATATGCATATATGCATATATGCATATATGCATATATGCATATATTCATATATACATATATACATATATACATATATACATATATACATATATACATATATACATATATACATATATACATATATACATATATACATGTATACATGTATACATGTATACATATATACATATATGCATATATGCATATATGCATATATGCATATATGCATATATACATATATACATGTATACATGTATACATGTATACATATATACATGTATACATATATACATGTATACATATATACATATATACATGTATACATATATACATGTATACATGTATACATGTATACATGTATACATGTATACATGTATACATGTATACATGTATACATGTATACATGTATACATGTATACATATATACATATATACATATATACATGTAGGGCGCGATTTGTTTTTCTCAATATACGGTATATAAAAAATAAAAGTCTATTTTAGTTTAGCATCGTTCATCCGATAGGCATGAAACTTTGGGGAGTTGATTAGAACACTCTAGGGAAGGGTTCTGTGCAAAAATCATTTTTAATATCGCAAGGGCGGCGCCACGGGAGGGTGCGATTTTTCTCTATATACGGTATATAAAAATAATAAAAGTAAATTACAGTGACACCGTTCACACGATCGCCATGAAACTTTGGGAAGATGTTTAGAATATTCCTGGGGAGGTTTCTGCGCTAAAAAACATTTTCAAATTTGCAGGGCTAGCGCCCCGGCAGGGCGCAATTTGTTTTTTTTTATACGTTATATAAAAATAAAAGTAGATTTTGGTTTGACAGCGTTCACCCGATAGCCATGAGACTTACAGATTAGAACACTCTAGGAAAGTGTTCTGTTAAAAAAATAATTCTTAATTTCGCAAGGGCGCCGCCACGGGAGGGTGCGATTTTCCTCTATATACGGTATATAAAAATAATAAAAGTGAATTGCAGTGACACAGTTCATCCGATAGGCATGAAACTTTGGGGAGTTCATTATAAAACTCTAGGAAAGGTTTCTGTAAAAAAAAATCATCTTTAATTTCGCAAGGGCGGCGCCACGGGAGGGTGCGATTTTTCTCTATATACGGTATATAAAAATAAAAGTCGATTTTAGTGTGACACCGTTATCCGATAGCCATGAGACTTTGGGGGAGTTGATTAGAACAATTCAAAGATGGGTTCGGAAAAAAAAAAAATCCTTTTTAAATTTCGCAAGGGCGGCGCCACGGGAGGCTGCGATTTTTTCTCTATATACGGTTTATAAAAATAAAAGTATATTTCGGTTTCACACCGTTCATCCGTGTACCATGAAACTTTGGGGAGATGATTAGATCACTCAATAGTAGGGTTCTGCAAAAAAAATATTGTTTAATATTGCAAGGGCGGCGCCCTCCGGGGGGGGGGAGCGATTTTTTTTCCCTATACACGGTATATAAAAAATAAAACTCGGATGCGGTTCATCCGAGTGCCATGAAACTTTAGGGAGTAGATGAGAATACTCCCGAGAATATTTCTACGAAAAAGAAAACTAACGTTTCTTATGGGCGGCGCCATATAGGGTACAACTTTCGTCAATACACAATTTGGCGCCCAGAGTTTTAGAGCGACTATGTTGGCACTTAGCATCCGTTAATCGAGCGTCCCGCATTGCGAGAAAGGGGTACTACTATATTCAGCGGTAAAACTAAAACAGGCTTCTAAAAATAACTTTGTAACGCGAGGAAATCCTTCAGTACAGTTTCGTCACCTTGCCAAAGATGAAAAAAATAACTTTTTGAATATGAGGAGCCTACTGTAGAGTTTCGTCATTTTGCGAATGATGCAATAAGCATCTACTATTAGACAAGCCAGTCAGAAATTGAGATCGAGCATCTAATAATAGACCATTAGTAACGCTAGCATATTGCATCAGTCACACTGATGTTTAAAACACGTTAAATACTTTTTACGTGTTAAAGAAAAAATTCCTGTTCATTTGTGTCACTTTAGCGAATGACGAAATCTGCATCATTATTAATAGGATGCTATTTGGCCGATAGCGCCTGTTAGTTTAAGGAGCCAGGGGTCGTACGCCGCGCCTATGCGGTCGTCTAATGGGGGGGGGGGGGGTGGGGGCCCTGAGAGCGCCCCTGTGCGTCTCTGACAAATGGGCGGTCACCGAAGTGTGTTCTAACATTATTTCGGTGAGTGATTAATGTACACTCAATGTTTACATGCGGTAGTGTAGGTAAACCTGTGTCCCGATATTTATTATTTAAGCGCAGGCATTGTTTACATTTAAATAACTCGCTTTTAGAAAAGATGGTCACGCGTCTTAGAACATATGATTTGTAACGCGTTGCTGAAATCATTCTAATACATTTCGTCAAACTTACTTCTATCCCCGCGGCAACGCGCGGGGGACGGGTACGCTAGTATATATATAAAGCAATGTATGTGTGTGTGTGTATGTCTGTGTGTCCTTTATGCATTACTACACCCCTCATCACATCGCCGTGAAACTTTGGGAAGTTGTTGAAAATATTCCTGGGGAGGTTTCTGCGAAAAAAAAAAATTCAAATTCGCAGGGGTGGCGCCCCGACAGGGCGCGATTTGTTTTTTCTATATACGGTATATAAAAATAAAAAGTCGATTTTGGTTTGACATCGTTCATCCCATCGCCATCAAACTTTGATGAGTTCATTAGAACACTTTGGGGAAGGGTTCTGTAAAAAAATCATTTTTAATTTCGCAAAGGCGGCGCCACGGGAGGGTCCGATTTTTCTCTATATACGTTATATAAAAATAATAAAAGTGAATTGCAGTGACACCGTTCATCCGATAGGCATGAAACTTTAGGAAGTTCATTATAAAACTCTAGGGAAGGGTTCTGTAAAAAAATACGTTTAATTTC